TCTTTCCTCGGTACCTTATTCCTTGAGCCAGCCCTGGGACGTTTCCCAGCCTGGTTAATGCCATGGGCCCCTAGCCCACAGGCAAACACAGGGAATGTTCTGCTTTTCTATTCTCCGTACATACTTCTCTTTCTGCCTTATGCTATCCATGCCAACACAGGCTTCCCAACTCCTGGCACAAACATGTTGGAAAAATACAGTGAAATTCCAATAGGTACAAGCTGGCATGAACACATTGGAAAAATACACTGACACTCCAATTGACAGATAGGAAACAGGCTTCGTTTCTCATTTTCCTTGGCCTTTGTTGGAGGTGACCTTGAATGTTTCAGAGGTGGGGGCAGGTGCGAGCACTCCATTCCCCTCCCCTCGGCTGGGGAGGATGCTGCAAAAATTGTTTCCTGAGAGCCAAGAAGGAGCCCCAGGCCAGGGTCACAGGACCCGTTCCATTGACCTGTGTCTTTGGGGTGGAAGATTATGTCCCCTGTCTCCTTCTCCCCAAGTTTCCTCCTGAGAGTATCTTCTCTGGCTGTGACAATTTGATCACAGCCAGCCACTTGCTGAGTGAACCTGGTTTGTGTTTCATCACCACCACCAGAGATGGTGATGCAAAACATAATGTCCTTCAATACTTTGCTGCAGGGTTTGAAAGCCTGTGCGCTCAGTGCGGGAAAGAAATGAATCACCTGAAGGAAATTCATTCAGCTGTCTTATCCCTGCAGAGAGCCCAACAGGACATACACAGGTAACCATTTTCTCTCATCAAATCAATGATCTTAATGGGCTAAAAATAACCTGTGGCATTTAACTCCTCCACTGCGGCCTTTGGAGCGTCCTTATCAGCTGCAGGGGTGCAGTTAACTGTTTCAATAGGTAACCTATTAACACACCGGAAAAGCAAAGCTAGCCCCTACTTGAAACAGTGAGGAAATCTCTTCCTCTTAAGGTGCTCTTTATGGGGCAAAAAGCATCACCTCAGCATGTTAAGCATCTCTTGGCACTCCCAACTGCAAAACAGCTGCAGAAGTTGGGAGCGACTGGGCCGGGTCCTGGCTGTAAATAAATCTCTGCTAGGCAAGAAGGCGTGAGGTCTCCCTTCTCATCAAGTATGTTATGAATTTGCTCAGTTTGCTGCAGAGATGCAGGCGTGTGGTCTGAAAACTGGGCTCCATGGGTGAAAAGCACTAAATTCCCGCTTTTTGTATAGAATGCTAGTTGCTGTCTGAGGTAAGCAGTGAGCACACCTGCTTAACCTACTGCTGGCAAAGGGCTTTGCATGGCAGACTCCTGTGGGGAGGGCAGGGGAGGTATTAGCTGCTACATCTGCTCCAGAGCCCTGCTGATTCCCCTCTGCATGAGGAGTATTATCCAGCCCTCCCAAGGCTTCAGTGGGGTAGGATCACACATGCGGCCCACCATTTCTGGATGCCGGAGCCATCAGTGATACGGCTTTAGCTTTTCTCTGCTGCTCTTGGGGTTGTCCAGGGCAAGTTCTCGTATTTGGGAAGGTTAGGGCATAGGTTTGTGAGTGGGTGCTGGATGAAGAAATTTCTTGGGGTTTGTGCCCTTACACCTTCTCATGCCAACCAGCATGCTATGCCTGATTCAGCAGCAGCCAGAAGTACTTATCTTTCTGTTAAAAAGAGGGGAGGTAAAGCCTGCGGGGCACAGTGCTGTGTATCCGTGAGGGTGTCTCTGAAGTACTGGGATCCTTGCCGGTGTGGAAGCTGTGGGTACACACACACGTGTGAATGCACACCTCCCTACGACACCCAAATAAACATACTGCTTTCTTTTCCAGAAACCTCAGTGCTCTGAACAAAAAGTCCTTCCACAGGAAGGTCTCTTCTGAAAGCTTCCTCCTGGACTCTCGCTGTTGGTTTCTCCTCTGCATCTTTCTTACGTGTCAACTATTCATTAATTATGTCTTCAAATAAAATCACTACGTTTGGCAGCAATAACAATTACTGGCTGCAGGAGGGGGGCCACTCGCGCAAGGAGCCCAGCGAGGCACCAAAGCACTTTAGAACCAACGCGGCAGAGGTGGAAGAAAGTTGAAAAACGAGGTTAAAAAGGGACCTAGGAACCTGCAAAACTTTGTTCCTGCAGATTATGTCATTTTTGCCTTTTACATGTACATCTTCAAGGACCTCTTAACCTGTACGGGCCTTAATGCTGAAGCCAAATGTAGCTTTAATTGTGCAATTTGTTTTTTATGTCTTGTAATTTTCTCATGCAATTAATAATTACCCAGCAGTATTGGTACCCCCAAAATGGTAAACACCCCAGCATTTTGGAAAGGTCACGCCGGCCTGGTTCATAGCTCTATGAGTAAGGGAGTGCAGTTGGAGAGCTGTAAAGAACTGATGTCCATGGTGCCTGTCCGGCTGCCTTTAATTATGGGAGGGAGCACACTTGGTCCAAAAAATCCACCCCCGGGATATTAAGTCATGATCTGTTTTGTCAGCACACACAGAATGGGACCTCAGGATGTGTTTTATTTTCCATTCCATGGGAACTGTAAATATGCACAATTTCCTAGAGCCATTCCTCTTTAGGAAATGGGAAGTATTCAGTGGAAGCTCCTCGTTTGGTTACGGAGCTGACTGGTGTCCTGGACCGGGCCCATCAAGTGTAACGTCAGACACGCCTGTTCGTAAAACCTGGTCACTTATTATTATTGTTATTATTTGCTATATGGCTGTTTTATAATATCACACACTAGCATTGTAGAGAGCAATCCACTGCCCCAGGATAGGTGAGAAGGACGGGAGCGATATAGGTGTACGTGTGTTCGGTTGTAGGCACATTTATTGTCAAAGGTCAGGAAGGAGGAAGGGTTTTGCCACTGCATTGTTCAACTCTGTTAATAGTCTTCCTATTTTACACCATTTTTTAAAGATTTGCAATATTTTCTGTAGACTGCGGACAATACTAAGCCTTTCTTTTCTGGCCTGAAGTAGTTCCAAGTCGTAAGTACTGCTATATATACAGCCTTAAAATACTTAGTGGTGGTGCCAGTCTGGGCTATCTTTCAATGTAAATGTTTCCAAATTTTTAAGCACATTCCTCGTCATATTCCTCAGTTAGGGGAAACCTGTTTGTGCTTGATATGTTGAAATAAAACTACACACAACTTTCAGTGGCAGTCTATCTGAGAAATTATTTGTGTGTTTGAACTCGGTTTTGTGCTTTATAGCATTTTACAAGTAAACAACTCGTAGGCCATGCTTCTTAGAGGAAAAGCTACAGGAAAAGGCCTTCAAGAATCTCGGACATAGGCCGTAAGTTAGAACAGCAAGAGCATTTTGATACCCCTCTGGCTCAAGCTGTCCATGTCTTCTAATTGTAGCAACTTCCTCAAAATAGAAGGAAAAGTGGTTGCCTTGATTTTCACTGTTGTACATGTAAATGTACAGACTTGTCTTGGACTTAGAAAACCTTTATATTAAGGAGGTAACTTGATGACAGAGAATAGATAGTTCCATGGAGAGAACCACAACTCTCTGACGTGAGCAGACAGGATAAGAGCCAGCATCCGGAAGCCGACATTCAAGAAACAGATCACAAATAATAAAGGGTGAGAGTGATTTCATTAGTAGCAAAAGTCTCCGGAAAACCAAAGGATTCTTCATCCTTGAGGAATCATCCCTGAAGAATGTCAACATTATCAATCCAGATCGGGTGCCTTTTTGAAGGATGTCATCCTAGTCACTCCTTTCTGAGGAAGTCTGACCCGTGCCACGTGGTGTAAGCCTTGGTGAGAGGGGGTCCCCCTGGCCTCTGCCTGTGAAAGAATGTCAGCCGCTCATAATGCCTGCCTGGCTATGCAAAGTCCCGTATGCACCTTGAAAGTGTTCGCTCCTAATGCTGTGCAAACACGTCTGCTAATTTCCTGCCTAAATCTCCCTTTGAATGCTTCAGCAAGTCAGCACATCTCTGGCCTGTCAGCACAGCTGTCCTCATCACGCACATCCCCCTGTGGGACCACGTATTTGAGTTACTGATAGGAGCCTCTCCTGTTCTCTAGGGATATTTATATCTCTTGGGTACAAATGTATTCTGGGTTTGAGAAATAGCTACTAAAAAATAAAATAAATCCCCAAACCCACCTGAACTAAAGAGAAGCAGTGCTGAACAGGAAGCCTTCAGTCGGTGTAAAGCGAATGCTTGAAATTCTTTGGATCATTTCCATTTTACCAAACTATGCACCCAGAGGGATTTCACTGGGACTTGTTACTGCAGTTAAATAAAACAAACACACTTACCACGAGGGGAGCAGTTCAATGAAAGAAACTATTAACCTACATGAACTAATTATGTATCAGCAGAAGAGGAGTTTCCAACATTTACTGCTGCTGCCACAGGGGATTAAAAAATAATCCGAAAAGGAACAATCTATAAATCTTTGTGCCATTAATTTTAATCCAATTTCAACATCTGGAGGTGAATGTTCCTACGCGCCAGTTATGTGCACATGGAGGATGAAAGGTATTCTGGAGGAAAATCGTGGCCAGAAATGTTGTTATTTCTCTAGGAGGAATAACTGCTGGTGAAAAAGTTGAGAACCCTTTCAGGGCTTTAGATAAGCCCAGTTATGCACCCAGTTTGTGCGTTTTTGGAAAAATTCTTCTTCCATCCTTTGGCTGCCCTTTCCGTGATCAGCGAGTAGCCCTTCAGCAACAACACGTGAGCTTTGCGTGGAGAGACACGAATCGGCCCGTTTCCTAACACGGTTTCCTCCTGCTCCTAATAGGTGCAAAGCCTGGTACCAGGGCATGTCCTAACGCACGACGTGGTTTTCCTTGACTCCAGTGGGTGGGCAGTTTGCTATTGGGGCACACGCTCTCTGGCTGTCCCGCTTCTCCTCCCCGAGGGCTCTGAAGCCCCGGAGCGGGCGGGGCGGCGGCGGCCCGCCCCCGGATAAAGCGGCGGCGGCACCGCCCCGCTGACGTGCCGCCACGGGCGGGGGGGCTCTGA